TAAAGTTAAATAAAAGAATAAGTAATAAATAAATATATGGTATAACCCTAACCTTATGCACTCTAAAATTAAAATTTTAAAGAACGTTATTTTGTCATTGCGTACAATGTTTTTACCTGTACTGGATTTTTTTTTATTATTATGTTGTTGTAAATATTCGAAAAGAAGTGAGTTTTTTATTTTTTTTTTTTACAATAACAAAATAATAATATTTATGTATAGGCGTTTTGGATCGTTTTACGATAGGCACGAGATTGGTTATAATAATAATAATAATATTAACGTTGTCGCCCAAAGCGGTTAGAAAATGGGTAAAAAACGAACGGTTGGCGCCTCGGCCGCTGGTGAACGACTTAAGTGCTAGATTACAAATTAAAAAAAACTTCTACTTTTTGAGAGGACATGTTATCGTTTGACTCGAGTTGACCCGAGGGATATTTTCACCGTGTTTTTTTGTTTGTGTACAAAGCAAAATGAACACAACTTGTGTGTGTGTGTGTGCAAAGAAGGAAACGGAGATAACGCGGAGAAGCAAAAAATAATATATATACCTAATAATAAGAATATAATTGTATAGTTTGTCGTTACTGTTTAGAACCGCCAATTAAACTCGTATCTAGATGTGTATGAAAATATTCTTATTATGTTGACCGAGTTATCTCCGGCGGATGTTGCTGGGTGCGCTTTCTGCATAGATCTGGAGATACCTGTGTGTGTTTGCATGTGTATATAATAATAATAATAATAATATTAATATTATTATTGTTATTATCTTGGTCACGACCTTCGGATATCCGTGAACGGCCTTGATCGGTCGGGTCGACGGACCGCAGCGGCCAAGACTGTGGCAACTATAATTTTTTCTTCTTCGTCTTCTTCTCCTAATAATCATGTAACGTATGGTTTTCTTTTTCGCGATCCGACCTTATCTTGAACGAAGACGAGACCCCGACCATCGTTACCTACACGACAATACTATACACCGAGTAAATACTATATTGATGAACGTTCAAAACTAGGCGACACGACGGTTGTACCGGATATTGTTTACCCCGGTTGTACTCGCGTTTTCACCGAACCGCTTAGGACCACACTTTACTTTCAGACGATCCATCAAAAAAAAAAAAAATAAACCAGCCGTCATTTATCATCGGATACAACATTCATAGTTTTTTAAACACCACTAGGATTTTTGGCGCCAACTCAAAGAAAAAAAAAACATTAAAACATGCATATGTCATCACTGCTCCACTCTTCACTTATCAGTTAATTTGTCTTATCAATAATCTGTTATCAACCACATAAAAAACTAGATTGCTAACCTGCGATAAGAATGGAAGTCGACGTCGACCATTTTTGTGGGATTTATGTGTGTATAAAATTATATATATATATATATCTGTGATTCTGTGTTATCAGGTAAACTATAAATTGTTATAAGCAGTGATAACAGCTATAAACATGTGATAAGGTTATAATTTCCACAAAGATGGCGGTAGGTCAGGTTAGTTGATAATAACATGATGTACAAGTTTTGAGTCTAAGAACTTTCCACGTGAAAAATCAGCCCAAAATCTTGAGATTACAACAGAATAGTATTTTTTTTTTAACGACGAGATCAACTAAGACTATAACAAAAACAAATACCTTCTTGGCTTTCAAATCTAGTTTACTATGCGTAGGTATCCGTGTCGAATGTTATCACTGTTGTTCTTAAATCCGTGTGCTATATTAATTGATTAATTGTTTTTCCGGAGCAATCTAGAGAAAACAAAATCGAAATTATTATGCAAATCATTCGTATTCCTTCGGGTGCTAAATCGCAATTACTCGGTACATTTAACGGTCCAACTAATGTCAAAATAGTTATGTTTGCCAAATGTCTCGTACAGGAATCCGATTTTGTACACCTTAACCTGATTTTTAATACCGAATAGTAAAATGTATTTCTTAATCTTTTTTTATAAACCGAATAATACCGAGTAAAATCGCAGAACGTTTTATCAGCGTTTATATCGAAAAAAACGGTACATCAATTTGACGGTGTAAGATATTATTATTATAAACACTACTAAATTGTTTGTATAATTATTGCCCACATTGTCTCACACTACTATGATAAATAATTCAATGTAGAACAACCTTGTCATTTATTTAGGAGTTATAACTTTCCAACGGCTTCTGCATAAAATTAACGTTTCAAGGCGTTCAAAAGATAGGTATTACCCATAAGTTTCATTGAGAAAAAAAAATATGAGTCAGTGGTATATCCATGGTAATACTGTCAGGGTAACATAAAATATTATAAAATTACCAAATATTTATCTTCTTTAGTATTTTCCAGAGCTCTGTGGACTTTTACAACTTAAATGGCGACATATTTATTATATTTCATTAACTCTTTAAATTAAAAGTAATTTGTTGAACATTTTGTCTAGTTAGGTTAAGTGATGAGTTTTTCAACCTTAATGATTCATCAATCCTGTATAGGTTCGCTTTTGTAGCATTGTTGAAGTACATGGTTAATAAATTAAAATATAATATGATAGTTCAGATTAATTATTGCACATTGTTCTCATCGAAGCACTAACGTTGTAAATAACATATGTTTTTCTTATAACGAGAATTAAATTATTTACCTTAAATAACTATATAATATTACATTATATTAAACTCTACAGTCTACAATTGGCACCGTAGGTACATACTACAATATTATGTTCTTGGATCGTTATTATAACTACAATATATTTGTAGTAACCTGTAATGATTAATCAAAATGTTCTTTAAAAAAAAAAACAACTTCATCTCGTACAATAAGAAAAAAAATGGTAACGACTGTCGTTCTATTTTTACTAGATATAATATTATCAATATACACACACCAACGTCTCTCTAACAATATAACTAATTTAGAATTATTTCTGGTTATTGTCGTTTTATCGTCCATTTCAACAATGTTAGTGTGTGATACGAGTGTATTCATTTTGAATTTGTGGATAGTATATTTTTATTATACCCAGATGAGATTGTGCAATGTGCTAGTTTACTAATCGACAGTACAAAAAATTACAAATTCTACAATACCTCTGAGACCAGTTCATGTTATGTTTTGTTGGTTCTTGTACCAAAAAGTCCCAAAAGTTTCAGTAATCAGTAAATGGCGAACTGCATCGTCCGGTTTTTTCTAATCTGTGGCTAAAGTTTAAGGACACCGCAGATTTATAGATAGAAAGCTAGATTGCTAAGTGTAAATGCCAGCAATTGTGATAATTTAAGTTACCATTTTCCACCATCCTTGTGGAAATTAGAACCTTATCACGTGTTTATAACTGTTATCACTGTTCACAAACAGTATACTATAAAATATATAATCACTATAAATATAAATATTAATACTATAAATCATTTATCATATTTGCTGTTTACAACAGTTACAAGTAAAGTTGATCGCACAGAATCACAGATATATATTATTTGATACGCACATAAATCCCACAAAAATGGCCGAATTCGATTCTTATCACACTTCTTATCAATTAGTTAGCAATCTAGTTTATTATGTATATATCTGTGAAAAATACTGAAAATTGATATACCTATAATTGGAAGTAATCAATAATACTCATCACGTGCAGTTAGTTAATGGGGTTAATTATTATTCTCTGCTATTATTTTTGGTATTACATAGTAGGTATATCGACATTGTGCAGTAACTAAACAATAATAACACTTTAAATATATTCTACAATTTCTCTTTTGTCGCGCAATCGGTGTTATGCGATTCATGTTACATTACGATATGTATAGGTATGTACTTCATAACGGATATCGTTATTGGTGAACAATAATAATGTACTTGTATGGTGTATACGAGTATAGAGTGTGTTTAAACGATGCGTATCACGTCAATTAAATAGCATACAATGCAATTTAATCGTGTACACCGAAAACCGTGTGACGTTAGGCCGGAAACTCAGTATATTGTCTCGTTAACGAAAACGTACGGTCTTGGTCGAGGAAAAAAGTACTTTTGCTTTTCACATAATTACAATCTTACAAACAAAACATCTCCTTGACACGTTACAAAACAGTATGGGCGGATTATCATTGCAAATTTGGTTTTTACCAGTGTCGTCCGTGCGGCGCTAATGATATCAATACATCCGCCGACAATGACAAAACAATTCACATTGATTTAATTATTCATTGTCAAAAAAAAAACACTTTCAAACATAAGACTTTGATGCAAATCCGTATAGACGACGGTAGAAATGCAAATAACGATAAAAGCATTGTAATGACAAAATGTGCTAAACAATTGCATTTTTCAGTATTAGGGTGGTGATACGATATGAGTTAATCGTCTGTATTATATTATAATAATAATATGATGTCGTTGTTACCAATTAGCAAATCAAAAACACAATGAAAATATTTGTCGGTTTTTCTGTTGACTATCGATTCGCCGCTCATACTTAAGCAGCCTAGCCGTTAACCTGACCTATGCTAACAAAGAAATTAGAAATGAGTAATAAATGATAAGAGATTAAAGATAAGATAAATAAACAAGATATAAGTAATAATAGGTAAATGATAAGAAAGGAGTGATAAGAGATAACATATCGATATGTTATATATAATTCAACATATCATAATATATAATTCAACGTTTTTCCGTGGAGCGGAGAAAATAACCAGATTCTTTTTAGTTTAATAATAAGTACATTTTTTGGGTATTTTTCTCGACGTTAAAATGGGGTGAAGGGTTGACATTTTTAAATTTTTGGCCTGGTATTATTTAGGTACGATTTCTCATTTATAGACTTACCACATGAAAAATCGGTTCAGCGGACACAAAAAAAAATATATATATTAAAAACATATCACTGTTAAAAGCAATACCTCCTCGGCTCAGCGTCGAAATCTAAGACAGTGGTTTTACTTTTATTTATGATAAAACTAAATCGCAATATAATTAACTGTTTTTTTTTCCACAGGGATATTGTATTACCTAACCGCGAACGTGGTCGAAGGCTTTCGTCAACATCAATACTATGTCGGCGACCGAGGCGGAAGTTACTCACAAGGTAAATCGTCAACGCATTCTTAATGTTTCGCCATGAATCACTTTGCTCGTGTCGCAATGCTACCGAAAACCCATTTACATCCTGGTTAGGAAACTTTTAAAGGTATTCAAGTCAAGTTATTCGAGAGAAGATAGGATAAGCGATGAATAGAAAAGAGGTAGCTTAGGCTTGACTTAGATAGCGAACAAAATGAGAGCAAAGAGACTGAGATGGTTGGGCTATGTGATGTATGGATTATATTTTAGACACAGTACATAGATGCCACAGCAAAGTTGACCTACCAAACAAAATATACCATAAGCTCTTTCCTCTAAAAGGGTTGCAAACCTTTTGTGAATTTCTTCAATTTCTAATTATTCTTAATTTAAAAACTCTCCCACTGGGGGGGGGAGTGGTTTGGAGGCTGAAACCCCCTCGAAATGTTTTTTAAAATTTTACATTTTCAACTTTTAAGTACCCAAAGTATGAGGTATTTAATGCTCCGGGGCAATTGAATATTATTATGTCCCAAAAAGTATTGTTAAACATTTGGAAATCACTACTAGAATTTGGTTATAGATTCGGTATTGGTAGTCTAGTCCAGTCATTACTCTATATTGTGCGTTCAAAACTGCACTCGGAATGACTATTGCACACTCTACGCCATTGTTTTGTTTTAATATAATACGTCCTGTCCCCTGTAATGGAGTATAGGTATTATTAGAAGAAATAACCGACGGAATTGTTTAAGAAAATGAACAAATAACGGCTAATCCGGTGGGTTGCGCAACGCGACCTCCAAAACTTTCTCCGGTTGGCAAAATTTGTTTACACGATAGACAAAAACACACTTGACGGCTATTTTTTTTTTTTTACATTTTTTTTTATTACAATATTTACCTTTTTTAATAATAATAAGAATAGTGTGTGCACCACGGACGTCGGGACGGTTTTTTCCAAGTTGCACAACAACCGATGAGTGTATATTGTGCACACAGCACGTGTGACGTTATATAACAGCTATATAATATACCTATATAGGGTGTTGTCCGAACGGTCGACCAGTGGGGAGAAAAGAGTTAAACCGACAAAACGCGTGAGAGGTAAAAAAAAAACACAATAATTATCATACCTTTGAGTTTTGCAGACAACGTCGAGTTTTCAATTTTTTACGGTGTTGTCGTCGCTCAGCTTTCTCTGGGCTACCACCTTGGCGAGATGCAATAATTTTTTGTATTATATACTACTCGTATTTCTAAATTGCATTTGCAAGTTATTTGTTTTTGTATTTCGTTCCGAGCACACGAGTAATGTGTGTATAGTTATATACATATATATGTATTATACGGGGTGTCATATTTTTAAATACTAATATATTTTTCTCCAAAAAGATACAATCCAATAGAAAACGTTGTTTATTAGAGACTTTTAGAGTACAAAGGGGGACGTTAAAAAAAATATATATAAATATGGTCCAAAATTCAAAATGGCCGACTTACGGTCAAAAACATGTTTTTTTTTTTAAATGGAAACCATGTATTTTTTGTTAACCAAACAAGTGTTCTTATCAAAACTAACTTTTGTAGGGAAAATTGTTCGGTAAAACCCATAATTTGCAAATTAAGTCTTTATTTTTACTTTTGAAATTTCATTTCGATGCGTATGGTAACCTTGGTTTTTGTGGTAACCATGGTATGTGTGGTAACCATGGTTTTTGTCTTTGTGATACACAGAAAAGAGGATAACGTTAACGATTAACATAATGATAATGTAATGGTAATACTAATGATAATGTTAAAGACAAAGACAAAAACATTATCATTACCATTAACGTTATCCTCTTTTCTGTGTCACAAAAACTATTGTTACCACACATACCATGGTTACCACACATGAAACTGTACCATATGCATCAGCTGAATGTGTTATCAATAATACTAGATTTCCCCTTATTACTATATCTCCCTCCTCTAGACATCTCTTTATGATGTAATCTCTGATTAATTTTTAAATAAAAACACCAATTACACTCTTACAATGGTTGCAGTTTTGTAGTTTTACTTTTTAAAAACACTTTGGTTTATGTTATTTTACAATATTAGAGGAGATTCAAGATTTTATCTTTTTAATTTTTTAAGAGCTCTATGAACTTTAAAAACTTAAATGATGACATTTTTATAAATTCTCTTATTTAGATCTTTTTAGATTTAAAATTACCCTGCACAAAATGTGGACTGATTCATCATTTAAATTTCAAAAGATAACGCCGTGGATAATACTAAAATAACCTGATTTATGATAACTTTCATACTAGAGTTTATATCATAACTCGAAATGAAAAATATTGAAAACATAACTTAAAATGAACAAACAAAAAACAACGTGTTTAGATTGAAAAATGTCCCGACCATTTTATGTACTAATTTCATGGAAAGTAAAAATGCTTTTCCATATTACACATTAAAATGTTCGGTTAAGCGATGATAACACACCTTTATTTATTTGACAAAACCACAGATATACATAATAAACTAGCTAACTAGTGATATGAACTGAAGTCGACGTCCGCCATTTTTGTGAGATTTATATGTGTATAAAATAATCTATATTATATGTATATATAATATATACCTGTGATTTTGTGCCATCGACTTTAATTTTAACTGTTATAGGTGGGGTTATATGTTAGGTTAGACGATGATAACACGCCTTCTTATGTTTGATAAATCATAGAGAAAACAATAAATATCATGGACAAAAAACAATATCTGTTCACAAAATGGCAGCCTCCCCAACTAGTGGACATTTTCCACAAGCAGCATGAGTTCAGTGCACACCCGGTATAATATAATACATATTTTACAAGCAGCACCCAATCCAAGAGTAAATAATATTGTAATAACGATATTATAATAAATCATTTGGCCGTGTGCGCATAATAATATACGATCACCGTGTGCGGGATAAATTTATGCGATATTATAAATAGATCTGTCGTGGACGGTAAAGCACACACATACACACAAGGCAAACGCACAACCGGATATCGTGATCCGACCGAGCAAAATGGAAAGTAAACGCTAGGCGTGGGCGGCAGTGTTTTTTTTTATCATGATAATGATCTCCATTTAGTTAAAACGAAAAGGTCCAAAAAAAAAAAAACCTATATATTTAAATATTATTAAAGAAGTTCATACATACCGAGCTGGCAAATTATCAACTCCACAGCAAATGTACTCAATAAAGAGCGATTCATTGCGGATAAGACACTGGTTGTCTTTTAGAGCAATTGCAATTTCTTTTTTGGAGACGCTTTAGTGTACGACGCTAAACGATGCTAGAAAATATTTAAATTTTCATGTTTTTTAATATTTTCCAGAGCTTTATCAATATTGTTGAAACTTAAATGGGACCGGACATACATACATAACTATTTTATTTGGGAAAAATTTGCTGAAAATTTTGACTGGTCGCTAACCAGTTTTGGTTTAATTCTTTTAAAGTTATTTAAGTTCAACATTTCTCCAAAGCAACAATTCAAAATCGGTTAACGACCAGTCGACATTTTCAGCAAATTATAATTTATATTTTTTAAGTTGATTGAACATATACTTTACTGTTTAAGTTTCAAACGTTGATTTTAGAATAACAGAAACAAAAATGTTTTCCAAAATTAAAACTAAAAAATTTCAAATTTAATTTAGTAGAAAATGAGTGTCTTGTGGTTAACTATGACCATTTTTTGAATGCAGTTCTTACAATGTAGTCAATTAACTCGGCTTCAATGTTTAATGTGATACGTTAGCAACTGCTATTTAAATCTAGGAGTAGACGCCCATTTCTGTATACATTATTCTGGTGAAAAGCAAAAAACCGATCGAGGTTTCTGATAAAACATAACGTTACGTCGTAGGTTCTTTTTATGAGTTAAAAAATTAGTAAAACAACACAACCAGGAACCTACGATTTTTTTGTGTTTTGCGTTTGGCGTGATTATGCCAAAATTTGTTTCGAATTTCTAACAACACTTTCTAACGTGTCATTAGCGCGTTTGAAGAATCGACGAAAAAACTTAAAAGGAAAACTCGTTTGACTGTAATATCGTTATACTATGACTGGACGGACACTGGTGTAGGTTAGAATAATATCAACTCGTCATTATAAACACCTACACGTGTTATGACAGTCCACGTGTGCAAATAAAATCAAAATCTCTGGTCAACGTGGGAAGTGGATACTAAATGGATATTGCTGATGATTGTCCATACAGACCACCGTTGTGCGTGCCAAACGGTAAGCAACAACAGCCTGAATAGTATCCGGGAACTTCAACGAACCTCTTGAAATTGCTAGGTACTTTTATAAAAGAAACAATAATTTCCATGAAAAAAAAAATGGTTCACTGCAAATGTGCAATCAAAATTTAAAAAAAAACTAATTTCGGGTAGGTTATGTGATCATAATAATTAACCCAAGCTACTAATTTACCTACTAACCTATGCAGTAAGCTCACTACTATTATTATATTTCATTTATGCAATCTGTTACAATGTGTAGAACAATAGGCACAATATACTATGTAATATTTATGATAAAAAACTCCCAGATTCCATTGTAGTACTATTTTACGATCCGTTTTTGAAGTTACTAAAGTTTAAAATCCAGGAGTGAAGTATTATTGTAAGTCATAGGCTCATTGTCTAGATCTACCTCAGGCATAATACTGGACTATAAGCCCATAAAAAATAGATAAATATTCCACCCCATTTATTCGTATTCAGATTAAAAAACGTCCCCACCTGTGAGGCAGCCATTACAGAAATACATAAAACACAATATGTAAACATTTTTCAGCCGAGTCTGCAACCACGAAAGAGCATTGTTATGTCTCGTTGAAGAACCGAATAAATTTAGAGTAGTTATAGATAATGAAATAGTATATTGACAAGCAGTAACAAGCTAGTATCTGAGGTGGCTAGTAAACATATAGAGTTTCTGGCTAATATTTTAGTGCTTTCATG